GGGCTGGTTCTGGGCGGCCATCACCACTTCGATCATGCGGTCCACCGCCTCCTGCACCCGGCCGAACTGCCTCAGTCCCTCCGGGAGCGTCTGCAGGTGCCACTGCAGCCCCTGGAGCAGCCCGCTCAAGCTGTTCACCACCGTCAGCGCTGCCCCCCCGGCTCTGAACTCCGGGTCGCTCTGCAGGATCTCGACCGCCTTCTGGGCTGAGGCTGCCGCCGCCCGGGCTGCCTCGGCCGCCGTCGGTGGTCGGGAGGGGCCCCCTGGAGCCATGGCCGCGGCTGGGATCCAGGTGAGCCTCTCCTTGCAGGCCGCGCACTTGCTGCCGCTGCCCCACTGGTTGCCGAAGAACTTCACTCTGTCCCTCGGGTGGGGACAACCCGCGGCAGGAGCTGCCGCCGATGCTGCCGCTGGCCTAGGGGGAGGCTTGCTCGCCGCGGGACCCGTCAGGGGGGCCAGGTGCTCCGGCCCTGGGGCGATCGCCGCCGCTGCCGCGGCCTGGGGTCCCGTCGGGAGTCCGCTGGGGGCCGGCGGCCACCCCGCTGCGGCGGCCTGGGCCGCGGCCCAGGGCATCGGGTCGGCTGGAGGCTGCCCTGGCGCCGCTGGCTGTCCCTGAGGGAACAGCCCGAGTGGGGCGGGCCGATCCGGCGGCGGAGGTCCCGGTGGGAGAGGCGGCTGTGACAGGCCCGCTGCCACCCACGCCGGCACCGTCGCAGCTGCCTGCGGGACGGCCGTGGCATCTGGCCCCGCCGATGGGGAGCTCCCCGCCTGCGGCCCGACGCCGTCGAACTGCGCGAGAGTAGACTGCTCGCTGTCCGACTCTGATTGTGCCTGGGCCCGGCGGGCCTCGAACAGCGCCTCCGTCGCCTGCTTGGCGCCAGGCTCCTTCTTCTTGCCAGCCTGGACCGTCGCCACGAGGACGGCCGCGGCCACTGTGAGTACACGCGTTGCCAGCATCACTCGAAAGGGTGGGCTGGTCGGAGAACTGGGATCTTGGACAGATGCCTGAACTGAGGCTGTCGCTGGAGCCGAAACGTTCTACGGACATCTGCTGTCGGAAGGGATCGAGAGCTCCGGAGTCCTGGTTGCTGGACCCGTTCTCCTTGGCCTTAGCTTTCCCCCTTGATCTTAAGCCCCGGACTGTCCTGGAGCGAGCCCGCTGAGCCCATGGCTCGATAGGCTCGATCACGCTCTGAACGACCCCGACGATCAGCACGTATGCCGCTAGAACCCCGAGCACGAGCATCGCCCATAGCAGGTCCCCGATGTCCCTGGTCTCCCTGATGTCCCGGGCCCCCTGGTACCTCCTGGTCCGAGATCTCCTTGGAGCCCTGACGCTGCTTCTCAAGAGACCCCAGATGACGATGAGAGGGATGATGTAATCCAGCAAGGTGCCCTGGTCCGACATCTTCTGCACCGGACGCCCAGCCAGCACGAAAGAGGAAAGAGACAGAAAAGGATACTTCCGGAGAGCTGACTCCGGGACTGTGCACGGGCCTGAGACTCGGCCGACGATGTCGACCATTCGATGCCCTGAGCCGAGCCGGGTGAGGGTCACCTCCGGCTTCGGCGTGTCTAGCTTCATGGTATTGTCGGGCAGATTGATCACTGCCCCGAGAAACTCCAGCAAATTCACGCTCAGGATGTGGGGCACTGCGTCCAGGAGGACGGTGGTCTCCACCACTCCGAACGCTCCCCCTAGGCAGAGTGGAAACAGCACCGAGGCAATCACCTTCGCTGGACCGCCGACTCCGTGGGCGGCCCGAGGCTTGCGATGCTGCGTCGGGATCAGCACATAGCACATGTCCAGCTCTGCCAAGGCCTGAGACTCCCGGTTGAGGGCCTCGAGGCCCACCAAGTCGCTCGCCGCCCCCGGGTCGACCAGCCCCTGGTTGGCCCTCGTCGTCAGGTAGACCTCCGAGGACAGCTCCTGCTCGGCCTCTTGCCAGCAGGGAAAGTTGGCCGAGACGCTGGGCCCCACGTAGCCGTCGAACGTGTACGCCGAGAGGCTCCTGCTCTTCAGGTTGTCGCGGTCCCTGGGCTTGTCCGCTGCCGGTGGGTTGGGACACTCGTTGCCCCAGTGTCCCTTCTCCCGACACAGTCGACAGCGGGTCACCTTCATCAGCTGTTGCTGGGACAGTCTGCCTCGGCCTCCTGGTCCGCGGCCACGACCGCGTCCCTCGGCACCTCCTCGGCCACCAGCCCGGAGACCCGAGCGTTGAGGAGGACGAGAAGGCGCAGGTGCCGCACGGTCACCTCCTGGCTTGCCGCGGAAGTACTCTCGGTCCTTGCGGGCCGCCCGCTTCAGGTCCTTATTCTGCTTCCAGGACCGGTCGTTGGCCAGCAGGTTGAGCGTCTCCTCGACCTCGTCCTCGCAGAGATCCATGTCCTCGATTTCGGCCAGCAGGGCCTCGGTATCTATGTCCCCGTCTTCGTCGAAGTAATCGAAGCCCTCGTCACCGTCGTCTGACTCGAGGATGGGATCGCCCGAACCGTCGACCGGACCAGAGGGGTGGAGGAAGGAGGGAGACTGAGAGGCATCAGCACCTACGCTGGGAAAAGAGTCGAGCCCTACGTCATCCTCACGGGCCATCATGGCCCCTGAGCTCGCTCGCCCAGGGAGCAGTCGCTCGGAGCCCGTGGCGTCCATCTGCCTGAGCGCCCAGGCCACATTCGCGTAGTCGAGGTGGCCGTGGGTCAGCGTCCTCAAGTTCTGCATGCCCTGCGCCGAGAGCCCGGCGCCCTCCTCGAGGAACAGGCCCTTGAGCTTCGGCGACATCCACAGGTCGTGGCCCTCAGCCTCCAGGAGTTGAGCCTCCCGCCTAGAGACGCATTGGCTGAGAGACTCCTTGCTCTCCCGGGCGGCTTCGAAGAGAGCCTTGCGCCCGGACCTCCTCAATTCATCTCCTTCTCGTTCGCCGATCATCAGGTCCATCCTGGCCAACGGCGTCTCCAGCCAGGTGCTGGACGTCAGCTCGTGATCTGGGATGTCCTCGAATCGCGCCTGCATGGACCAGTCGAACAGCTTCATGAAACGCTCCGAGCGTCTCCAGAGCGCGACGTCCGTGTTGGAGTTCCAGCGGCGGAGAGCTCTCCGCCACTGGCGGTAGTGAGTCCAGCCTGGCCAGGCCGGGGGGTCGGTGTAGTCGCCCCTGGAGCTTCCGCCCCATGCGCCCTGCCAGGACTGAGACCTCCAGTCGTCACCCCACCAGCCGCTGGACCAGCTCGACCCCGCGCCGGCGTCGCCCGTCTTCCCGCGGTCGTCCTGCCAGCCGCCAGCCCAGCCGCGGCCCGCGCCTCCGGCCTGAGCTTGGCCGTCTGGCGCTGCCGCCTCGGCCGCCGCCGCCGCTGCTGCCGGCTCCCCGGCCTGGCGGCCGCGACCGCTGCTCCAGGGGTCGCTGCCGGCGGCCTGCCAGGGGTCGCCGTCGTAGGCCTTGTCGTTCCAGCCAGTCCAGCCGCCGGCTGGCTCCGCTGTACTCGCCGTACTACGCCGGGCCTCCGCCGCGGTCATAGTCTCTGTCACTATGCTTGCGGCGATGGCCCTGATCTGCTCTAGGGAGATGCTGACCGTGCTGCCAGGTGCCGCGCTTCCCGAAGCGCCCCCACCGCCTGGCTGCTCTTCTCCCGTCTGTTTTCCTGTCTGCTCGCCATTCCCTGTCTTCCCCTGGGATGACATTGCCGTGGATCCCCTCACACGCCCAGCGTCTGAGCGCGGCCGTGGCGGAGGCACGAGAGCACCGGTGGAGCCTACCCTTCACGGCTGCTCCCCGGCACCCATGGCCGCCCGCCTGGACCGCGCTCCGCTACCAACTGTGGCAGCAGGAGGATTGGGCAGATGTTTTTCCCTTGAGCCAGCACAGGCGAATCACGGGTACAAACCTGACTCGCACACCACATGCTGAACCTAGACTGATAAATCTGGCATCCTTCCACACTCCTCCTCCTCCTCCTCCTCTAGACGAGCGCGTTTCACTACTCGCAAAGCGACTACTCGCAAATGGCCTGGATCCGCTGGGGGGAGATACGAGTGTTGGTGCTTGCGAGTAGGCAGTTTGCGAGTAGTGGAGCGCGCTCGGTGATCCTCCTCCCCCTCCTCCCTTCGGACCGGCCTTTGACAGGCCGGAGGGGGGCGCAGACAAGCTGCCCGACGTGTGCTGCCACATGCACTGGCGCACTGGGCGCACTGGGCGCACACTGTGCGAGTCGTGCACGTGGCGCACCTGGCGCGGCTGGAGAACACGCTACACTTGGTGCACGTGGAGCACGCGGCACACCAGGCGCGGCTGGCCCGCTTCGGCCTCTGGCACGAGTGGCGCACCCGGCGCACGTGTCGCACCTGGCACAAGTGACACACCTTGCGGGCGTCAAACACCTGGCTTCTGCTCTTGTGGTTCCAATGGCTGTCCATGCGATGGCGCCCTCTGCCTATGCTGAATCTCGGGTGCTACGTATGTGGTGAGAGGACGCGTGGGAGTGAGCGAGATACCTTGCAGCTTCCCCGTTGGGAACAAGCCGCCGTCCCCTGAGATCTGGCAGGGGGGGCACGAGAAGTGAGGGCAAAACAGAAAAAGGCCCATGAGCGCGTCAAATGAGGGCCGTGCTCCAGCAAGGGCCCGAACAGAGCCTCGAGATGGACTTAAAAGGCCTCCAAGAGGCTCCCAGGGGCCTCTCACGTCACCGCTGTTACTGTTGGACCCTCTTTTCACCAAATACTGATCTGTCTCATTCCCCTCTCCCGATGTCTCGGCTGGGCATCGCTGCGCGCATGCGCTGCCTGGGGATCCGAAAGCCGAAAGCGTGCAGAATCCGGAGCTCTCGGTGGCGCCCTCGCTCGTGGCCTCCTCGGCCCTCTCGGGGCAAGAGCACCGCCGTGACGGCGGCCGTGGCGGCGGCGGCGGCGGCGGAGGCAGCGGGCGGCCGTGGCGGCGACGGCAGCGAGCGCTGCGGCGGCGTGGCGACGACGTGGCGGCGGCACGGAGCGGCCACGGCGACAGCCGCACCTCGGGCTCGGCACCGAGGAGGTCCGGGTCCGCGAAGACCGCACGGACCTGCCCGGGCGCCGCAGGCCGGATGAACCTGGCGTGGGCCGGGCGGGGCCGCGCGCGCGCCGAGCGGACGGCCGGCGGGCTTCTCAGAAGGCGCGGGGGCTCCTGCTGCCTTCTGGGAAGGTCTGCCCCCTCCTTCCCCCTCCACCTCCTCCTCCTCCATTTCCTCCTCCTCCTCCTCCTCCTCCTCCTCCTCCTCCCGGCAGTAGCCCCTCTGCTCCTGCTCCTCCTCCATCCCGGCTCCTTACGAATACCTCCGCCCTGTCGCACCTGTCATTACCATCCCCTTTCTTATCCGTCTCCTCCTCGTCTTCCTCCTGCGAATTATCCTTCCCGTCATCTTCCTCCTTATCATCAACACCCCCACCACCACACCCACACCCACCACCATCACCACCATCATCACCACTACTATCACCATCACCATCACCGCCAACACAATCATCATCATCATCATCATCATCATCATCATCATCATCATCATCGTCGTCGTCGTCGTCGTCATCATCATCATCATCATCATCATCATCATCATCATCATCATCATCATCATCATCATCATCGTCGCCGTCAGCATCGTCGTCATTATCGTCGCCATCATCATCATCATCAGCACCATCATCAGCATCATCATCAACATCGTCATCATCAGCATCATCATCGTCATCATCATCAGCACCGTCATCATCATAAATAAGCATCATCATCATCATCATCATCGCCAGCATCATCCTCATCCTCACCCTCCTCCTCCTCATCATCATCATCATCAACCTATTCAGTAGCAGCATATCCATCATGGCCATCAGCGTGATCAGCATCACCATCAGCATCATCAGCATCACCATCACCATCATCATCATCATCATCATCAGCAGCAGCATCAGCATCATCATCATCGGCGCGGTCGTTGTCGTCATCGTCGTCATCATCATTAGCAAGCGCAGCAGCAGCATAATCATCATCAGGTCATGCTAATCGCAATCATCACCATCGTCGTCATCATCATCGACGTCATCATCAGCAGTACGATCATGATCATCAGCATCATTATCATCACCATCATCACCAGTGTGACCATCGTCGTCATCATCACAACCACCACCACCACCACCATCATCTTCATCATCATCATCAGCAACACCGTCACCATCGTCACTATCATAATCATCAGCAGCGTCATCATCGTGACAAGCTTCATCACAGTCACCATCATCGCCATTACCACCACCATCACCATCACCATCACCACCACCATCACCATCCCCACCACCATCACCATCACCTTCACCACCATCATGATCATCATCATGATCAGTATCATGATCACCATGATCAGCATGATCATGATATGATCATCATCATGATGATCATCATCATCATCATCATCATCACCATCATCACCATCATCATCAAAAAAATTACATCATCAGCATCATCGTCACTACCCCTCATCCCACACCCCTCACACGTTCCATTTTCCCCCGTACACATCCCATCCCCGACCATCCATGCTTCCTCCTCCTCCTCCGCCTCGTCCTGCTTCCGATGCTGTTCGTTGCTCCTCCTCCTCCTCCTCCTCCTCCTTTTCCTCCTCATCCTCCTCCTCCCCTCTCGGTCTCTGTCACGCCGTCCTGCTCCACCTGGGCAGCGGAGCGCGGTGCGGGCGCCGCCGCGAGGTACCGCCCGCGCGCGGCGGGGAGCTCGGCCGCCAGGCCGATCTCGCGGCCACCCTCCGCTGGCTCCTCGCTGCGCACGCGCCCGCGCGCAGCAGCGGCTCGAGCCACACTCGGCGGCGACGATAGGGGAGGATAGCCCAGCAGCGGGCCTGACGTATTCGCCCGGGAGCCTCGTCGGAGGCATGCATCGACGCCCCTAATGATCGTCGCCCCCGACACACGCCCGGCCTCCAGTGCCCCGGCGCGCTTCACCACGAACCTTTGCCTCCACGCGGCGGCCCTGCCCTGCTCGCAGTGCGTCGCCGATCTTCCCCCCCTGCGAGGGGTACCTCGTGAGGGGTGCCTCGTGAGGGGGTGCCTCGTGAGGGGGGCCTCCGCTCCGCAAGCCTCCCAGCCGTCGCGGGCGGCGCGCCGCTCGGAGCCAGCTGTTCGCCTCGGCGCGCGCCGGGGGTCTCGCCACCCACTCCGAAGGCTGCGCCCCAGCCACGCGGGCTCGGTTCACAGGCCGCTTATCCGCCCGGCGCCAGCGCGGACACCCGCGCGACTCTAGGCCGGCCAAAACGATCGCAGGGGCGGTACGGCATACGAGACTCAAGGCGCATGCGGAAACCCGCAGGAAAGAGGGCGAGCCACTACATGTGCTGTGCACTCCTCCCGCTCCTCCATGTCCTCATGTCCATCCCTCTCTCTCACCTCCTATCTTCCATCCCCTGCAACTCCTCCCCTCCCTCCCTCCATCCCTGGCCACTCTGCACTGCGCGCTGCATCCTAACCATCTGTCTCCTCCTTCTCTTCCATCCGCTTCGCTTTGCCCCCCAGGAGAAAAGGTGGAGGAGGAGGAAGAGGGGGAGAAGGAAGAAGAGGGGGAGGAGGAGGAGGGGGAGGAGGAGACGGAGGAGGAGGAGGAGGAGGAGGAGGAGGACGAGGAGGAAGAGGCGGAGGAGGGGGAGGAGGACGAGGGGGAGGAGGAGGAACAGGAGCAGGAGGAGGAGGAGGAGGGGGAGGAGGGGCAACGAACAGCATCGGCGGCAGGACGAGGCGGAGGAGGAGGAGAAGGATACGGCACTAGCTGGCGAACGCCGCGCTCCAAGTGAGCGCCAGGCGCGCTCGGAAGAAAGAGCAGTCACACGTGACCGCTCCGTGCCTGCAAGCCGCCACACCCCCACCGAAGGATCACGGGGCGAGGCGCAGGCAGAAGTTAAAGGAAGAGAAGAAAGAGGGAGGGAACCGGCAAGGTGCGACAAGGTAAAGTGCACACCTCCTGCGCTGCGCTCCCCCTCGGTCCCGAACAGTTGGCTCTGCAGGAGCCTGACCCAGTGGGCCTCGGGGTCCGAGCCCAAAAGGGGCCGAGGGGCGGAGATTCTCCGAGAATCCGCCCCCCCCTCATCCGCGGAATGAAACCCAGCCAAAAACTGGCGACGATTCCTCTGCGCCCTCTCAGAGAGGCGATGGCGAGGAGGAGGAGGAGGAGGAGGAGGCTCCCATCCCCTCCTCCCTCTCCCTCCACATCGGTGCGCGTCAGGAGCCAGCTCCGGGCGTCCCCCGGAGCGCCGGGGGCGCAGGCCGGCATCACGCACAAGGCGGCGCTGGGGGCGGCCGGTTATTTACCAGGCCGCGGGGCGGCGGCGGCGGCGGCGGCGGCGACCACACCGACGGCCGCCGACGACGACTGCGACGGCGACGGCGGCAGCGGCGACCCCGGCGACGGCCGCAGCCGCCAGCGTCGGCGGCGGCCACGGCGACGACCACGGCGGCGGTGGCGACGGCGGCGGCGGCAAGCGGAGGCGGCGAAGGCGATGGCGGCGGCGGCGATGGCCCTCCTCCTCTGGGGTGACGGAACGATTCTCATTACGCAGCCATCGCCATCTTCATTTTCCCTTTCATGGGTCGGGATAGAACTGTCATCTGCTACTTCGTATTCGCATGATTCGCATTCTTCCTCTCGCGATTCGTATGTTTCTTCTCCGAGGATGCCTCCTCGACGCTCCCCGGCAAGGGAAGGTGCCCCCCGCCTGTCGTTGGCGGCGCCGTCGCAGAGCCTGTCCGGGTCCACGGTCTCGGCCTGCCCAGGCCGCCGCATGTTCCTGCTCCTCCTCCCTCCGTCTCCTCCTCCTCCGCACGGTGGCGGGATGGGCCGAATGCCATTGCATATATTGCACAACGTAGATTGTCCCACAAAGACTGCACCACACAGGCTGCACCGCATAGACTGTTCCGCTCAATTGCACGACACAGATTGCACAACATATCATATGTTGCCCCACGTAGTTTCCACCACACAGATCGCTCCATCTAGATTGCACAACACATGCTGCTAGAAACACGCTGGTTTAGGGGTCCACACTGGCAAACTTTTTCTGCCCAGAGGTGAGGCTTTGTGCAACTGCTCCACGGATGGCGCACGACCCATTTTCACAGCTGGGCTATCGCTGGACACCTCGCAAAATTTTGTGACCAGGCTCTGGAAGCAGGATGCGAGGCAGTGCCTTGTCAAAGTGGGGGTCTTGTCTGAATGGCACGCCCATGGCGTGTTCACCTTCCAAGACTGCACTGGTTTTGATAGTGGGAAGGGCTTGCAGGTCCATGTCAGGAGAAAGCTTTGAAAAACGGACGGGTGTGTTGCAGCAGTATCATCCTCCGCCTGCCCTTCCTCCTCCTCATTATCATCAGCCTCGCCGCTGCGGTGCGGCACCGCCGCAGCACCAGGCCCCATGTTGGGGCACAAGAGATGTACCTATAAGTTCCAACTCTTTTGCCGACGAAGAACGCATCATCAAGATCACCGTCATCATCGACAGTAATGGTCTCCTCCTCTTCCTCCTCCTTCTCCTCCTCCTGGTCATCATCAACATCATCATCGATATCACCGTCATCTCCATATCATGATCATCTTCACCACCATCACTGTCGTCTCATGATCGTCGCCGTACGCATCAGTATCATCCTCACGATCATCGTTATCGCCATCATAATCACCAGCTTCATCATCATCATCATCATCATCATCATCATCATCATCATCATCATCAGCATCAACTCATCATCATCATCATCATCATCATCATCATCATCATCAGCATCATCATCATCACCATCACCACCAGCATCATATTGCAGCAACATAAGCAAAAGCAGCATCATCGTCATCCTCATGATCATCCGTTCCATCACAATTACCATCACCGTCATCTGCATCTGCGTCATCATCAGCATCACCACCACCATTATCATGATCATCATCGTCACCACCATCATAATTCTAAGTATAATCCTCACCAGTATCATCATAATCAGCACCCACATCACCATCATCATTATCATCATCATCATCATCATCATCATCATCATCGTCATCATCATCATCATCATCATCATCATCATCATCATAATCATCATCATCATCATCATCATCATCATCATCTGCATAATCAGCATCATCATCATCATCATCATCCTTATCATGGTCGCCATCATCATCTGCCCCTGCATCATCATCCTCACCACCACCATCCTCCTCCTCATCATCATCATCCTCAGCATCCTCATTCTAATCCTCATCCTGATCCTCATCATCCTCATCCTCATTCTCATCATCCTCATCATCCTCATCCTCATCATCCTCATCATCCTGCTCATCATCATCATCATCATCATCATCATCATCATCATGGTCGCCATCATCATCTGCCCCTGCATCATCATCATCACCACCATCCTCCTCCTCATCATCATCCTCAGCATCCTCATCCTTATCCTCATCCTGATCCCCATCATCATCATCCTCATCCTCATCCTCCTCATCCTCATCATCCTCATCCTCATCATCCTCCTCATCCTCCTCATCATCTTCATCATTATCATAATCATCCTCATCCTCATCCTCATCCTCATCATCCTCATCCTCATCCTCCTCCTCATCATCATGGTCGCCATCATCATCTGCCCCTGCATCATCATCATCACCACCACCATCCTCCTCCTCATCATCATCCTCATCATCCTCATCCTTATCCTCATCCTGATCCTCATCATCATCTTCATCATCATCATAATCATCCTCATCCTCATCCTCATCCTCATCATCCTCATCATCCTCATCATCCTCATCCTCCTCCTCATCATCATGGTCGCCATCATCATCTGCCCCTGTATCATCATCACCACCACCATCCTCCTCCTCATCATCCTCATCATCCTCATCCTGATCCTCATCCTGATCCTCATCATCATCCTCATCCTCCTCATCCTCATCATCCTCATCCTCATCATCCTCCTCATCCTCATCCTCATCCTCCTCCTCCTCATCATCATCATCCACCTCCTCGTCCATCCCTCCCTCATCCTCCTCTCTCCCGCCCTCCCTTCTTCCTCCCTCCTCCTTCTTCGCTTCCTCTGCTGCCCCCTCCACGCCCGCCGCGTCTGGGCCACTCCGCAGCGACAGCAAGGCGCCGTCGGAGCCGTGGCTCGCCACGAAGCCGAAGGCCCACTGCCGGGGGGGCGCCGTCCGCCGACAGCCAGGCGCCGACGACGACGACGACGAAGACGACGACGAAGACGACGACGACGGCAACGACGGCGACGACGGCGACGACAACGACGACGACGACGGCGACGACGACGAGACGAGACGACGAGGTTCGCCACCGCCGCCCGCAGACGACGCATATGACGAGTATGACGAGTACGACGACGACGACGACGACGACGACGACGACGACGGTCAAGGCGACGGCTGCGCCGACGACGGTGACGACGATTCAAACAACGACGACAACGACCCACGACGACTGCCGACAGCCGCCGCTGTCGACGACGATTACGAAAATCGTGGATCGAGGTTTTCCTGGGCCTCGGGGCCATGGGGCCTCCGCGGGGCTCCGGGGGTGGGGGTCTCTGGCGGTCTCCAGAAACCTCTGGGAAGCCTCCCGTGCGACCTCTGGAAGCTTCTGGTCCTCGTCGTCGTTGTCGTCGTCGCCGTCGCCGCCGTCGTCGCCGTCGCCGCCGTAGTCGCCGTCGTCGACTTCGACGTCGTCTTCGTCGTCGGCGTCGTCGTCGGCGTCGTCAACATCGTCGTCACCGTCGCCGTCGCAGTCGCCGTCGCCGTTGCCATCGAAGTCGGCGTCGTCGTCCAAGTCGGCGTGGAAGGTCGTTGATCTTAGACGTTTCTAGCCCTGCATGGGCCTCCGAGGGGCCTCTGGGAGTCTTCTGGCGGCCTCCGTGGACCTCTGGAGGCTCTGGAGGCATCTGGTCCACCGTGTCGTCTTCTTCGCCACCGTCGCCGCAGCCGTCGTCGTCATCAGGAACCGCTCTTAATCCTCCTCCAGCCCCTCCTAAAGAGGTCTCCACACCTCTACCGCGCGGGCAGCTCGGCGTGCCGCCGCCTCGCCAGAGCAAACATCAGGCGCACCAGTGGCGGGAGCTCACCGCGCCGCTGTCGCCGGACGCGCTGCCGACAGGCAGCGCAGAAATTGGGAAACCAGTCTTCCCCGCACGAGTTTCCCCGCCTCCTGTTTGTTCTCCTCTTCCTTCTCCTTCACCCGCCTCCACCTTTCTACGTTCGACCAACCTACGGTTACTCTGTGGCGTTCTTGATGAGAAGAAAAGATCCGTATAGTACGGTGGGGTCAACAATCACCTGGCGAGCACGGAAAATAACACAAGTAGAAGTAAGGCCGATAATAGTGAAAAAGAGTAGGCGCCCGCCACATCCTCCAGTCGGTACCAATCCAAGTAACCAGGTACCCCCAGAAGTAATACATATGGGTCGTCTGAACCCCCAACGTTTATATGTAGTACCACCACGGCAGGCAATATACATGGTGTTGGATCTCCTTACACGTGGGCGGACTGCTAACGTATAGGGCTAAGCACCTAAACGAAAACAACATGGCACCTCAATGCGCACAGTGTGACCGCCACCCACACTCACCACCCCCTGAGTGTAAGTGCGCGGGTGCGTACTGTGATGCTGCTATTTGGCTCAGAGTCTTGTAGGAGAACCCCGAACCTAAGCTGGAAACGGGAGCGAAAAACGGGGGGGGCAACGCTGAACAGTGATGGAAGAAATAGTGGCTGCAGATAAATAAGCTGGCCTGTCTGTGGAGGCTGGCCTGGTGCAACTGGCCTGACTGAAAGTCAGGCACATGGGCATGCCGTGATGCAAAAAGGTGTCGCTGTGACGACAAGGTATGGCATGCGTGTGGCGCTTTCAATGTACCTCCCGCCGCCCAAGATGTCTAGGGACCT